ATTATATTAATAAATAAAAAGTATATTAATTAATTTATTGGATAAAAAATATTTTTAATTATCAGAATAATAATAAATTACTAAATATTATTAAATTAATTAATCACTATTTAAATGGTTAAAAAATTTCACTTATTAATAATAATTAATTTCACTTAAAAAAATTAATTAAAAGATATATTAATATATATATATATTAATAATTATTTGTATTAAAAAAATTATATATATATATATTAAAAGATATATATATATATATAGTTAAAAAATATATTAAAAAATATATATGTAATTTGTGAGTAAAAAAATATTTACTAATTATTATTTTATATTTTTTATTCAGAGCGTTAGTAGACCTAGACAATCTGTCAAGGATGAAGACGATGAGGTTAATAAATATTATGAAGGTTCTGGCCCCCGACACACTAGAAGTCGGGGTGTAGATGCATCCGTTCGTCGGGAGAGGAACAGACAGACGATGATCGATCAGGCTCGGAGGATAGATGCGTTCGTTCGTCGGAAGAGAGACAGACAGACGATGCTCCTCAACTACAATATAATTTTGTAATTTAGAGGGATTATACAATTAATTAGTTAAAAAAATATTTAGATTATTTTTATTATTGTTATAATCAATTAGTAGTAATATTATATAATAAATTAGTTTAAAATTGTCATTGTACTTTATTAATGTAAAATATAACGTTTTTAAATGAGTTTTTTTTTAATTGTAAAACATTAAGTTGAATAATCTTTAACACGAATTAAAAATGAAAAAAAATTATCATTGATGCGATTTTCGATTGCACAGACAAACTCGTTCTCCTGAGAGTCTGACGGGTCGACTTAAGAGAACGAGCTTGTCTCGAAACGTGGAACATACGTTCGTGTTATCGAGCAATAAAAAATCGCATCAATGGTATTTTTTTTTTCATTTTTAAGTTGAATGGTTTTTTTATTTGCTAAACTTCAATTGAATGAGTTTTTTTTTTTTCTTTTTATTCTAATGTCCAATTTATAACAAATTATTTTGAATATATAACATAATAACACGTCAATGTTTTAGTAGAAAAATAAATCCATCTTACCCATACCACATGTGACATATCAAGTTGAGCATCACGGGAGCGCCTCAAAAAGTCAATCACGAATTTGAAGCAACATCACCTATAAAACCACTCAAACTCTCAAACGTAGGCATTCCCCCACAACACCAACAAAACCCACAAATATTTATCTTTTATAAGGAAAAAAAGAAAATAACAAACATGACTAATGTTGGAGCAGCTCACAATGTCACTGTTTTAGGCTCCGGGGAGACCACGGTCGTCCTTGGCCACGGCTTTTGCTCTAACCAGTCAGTGTGGAGGCACTTTGTCCCTCACCTTGTGGACGAGTACCGAGTCATACTGTACGACGACATGGGGGCCAGCACCACCGACCCCAACGCCTTCGATTTCCAACGCTACTCCACTGTAGAAGGCTTCGTGAACGATCTTATCTCCATTTTGGAGGAATTCAAAGTCGAGAGGTGCATTTTCGTCGGCCATTCCCTCTCTGCCCTGGCCGCAGCCTTAGCCTCGATTTCCAGACCCGAACTATTCCGTAAGCTCATCATGATTAACACTAGCCCGAGGTAACTGATACTACCTTCTATTCTTTTTAAATGTCGTCTTGTGCTTTAGCATATAAATTAAGAAATTTTTTCTTGCCAATATTATCCTTATTTAAAACAAATTAACATTAACTAATTTCTTTCTTTTCAGCTTTTTTTTATGATCTTTCTCTCAAAACGTGTAGTGTAACAATTAAATGAGAGTAGCAATAGAAAAATTTGTATAAAAGATAAAAAACGATATTTATTGGATTAATGATCAATAAAGCAAAAATGACAAATAAAAAGAATATGAGGGAGTATTTATTTATTAAATTGACATCATGTTCCCATTGTTCCCATAAGTTTGTATTACTTTCTGCATTTCGAGTGAACAAAAATTCTGTGGAGCCATCGGATGGCTTTCTTATGTAGTCATTCATTACTTAATAAGCACCAATAAATGAGCACGTGCATGTTATCATAAAATATTCATTGTATGTGTATTTTGAGTTTTTGGTTTAGTCAAACTTACGATAAGCTTATGATGTATATATATATTTATTTAAGTTGGGTCCTTAATTGTTTTGTTAGGCTAACTAACGCGGAGGACTATTACGGAGGGACGGAGGCAGAAAAGTATGACCAGCAAATTGTCGCATTGGAGGAGAATCCCACGGAAATGTATGAGAAAATTGCCCCACTTGTGATGGGTTGTGACGCCAACTCGACAGCCGTTCACGAGTACACACGGAATGCATTGAGCATGAAGCCCGACATCCGCCAACATATTCTACGCCTGATTAGCAGGCTCGACATGAGGGCGTGCCTCGGCCAGGTCACCATCCCCTGCCACATCATCCAGAGTTCCAACGACGTGATGGTGTCGGTGACGGTCAGGGGCGGAGCCACCCATGGGCTAGGGTGGGCTCCAGCCCCATGTAAAATTAAAAAAAAAAAAGAAAAAAAAATTATATTATAAGAGTTTAGTTATATAGCCCCATGCCATTTAATACCTAGCCCATATGTCCAGCCCAACAACAAAACCCAAATAACTAAAACAGCAAATCATTTATTTCCTAAAGGCCCTAGCCCATATGTGATTAGCCAACAACAAAAACCAAAATAATTAAAATTTAAAACACCAACTCATTTATTCACTAAAGGCCCGAACCAATTATGCATAAAAAATTAAGCTAGAACATACTTATTCAATTAGAAAACTTCCAGGAGAATTGAATCGACAATCTGTCTTCCTTCATTCTCTGCTTGCTCCTCATAGCCTGCCGCAGCCAAGCGCCAATCCCACCGCCACGGCCCAAGCTTCACTCCTGTCGCCGTTAATTCCACCGTCACGGTCTCGACTTCACTCCTTGCAGAGACGCCGCCCATCTGCCACCGCCCGACCCGATTGGCTACGGCCGCTAACCTCGTTGGTAAGGGTTTTCTTTCTGATTCTACTTCCCGGTTCGTACCTCTTTTATGTCTCAGTTGAACTAACTTATGAGAAATAGCAAGATTCCCTTTATCTAAATTTGCATTTTTCTTTTTCAAATACTCTTTTGTTCAGATGTAATTTAGTTAGGGTATTGGGATTTGGGGGGTTTTGTCTTTGTTAGTTTAATTTATAAAAGCTACTTAAAAAAAAATATAAAAGCAGTTCCACCACTTTTGACTTTTGCAATGTGGCCATTTTTGTTTCAATTTGATTTTGTGATTGTCATTTAGTTATCAAATCAAGAAAATAGTGATTCTATTTATTTTATTAGGAGTGTTGATGTTTAGTGGATTTTTGTTTTGTTAAGATTGAAGAAGTTGACTAGTTTTACTTGATATGCCATTTATGTTGTTACTTGTTAGTATTAGTTTTGGTGTTCGCTTGAAGTAATTAAGAATTCTGATTGCCCTTTCAATTCTTTTTAATTTTTATTATTAGTTTGCTTATATCATAATTGATTCATTAACTATTTTATATTAACTTTATAGGTTTCAATCATAATGGAGGGTCAAGAAATGAAGAAAAGAAAGACTATCAATTCATTTTTTAAGCCAAAAGAGCATATGTCGACAAGTCGAGATCGTCCTTCAAGTGATGATATTGCCGCCTCTATTGATATAAGTTCACTTGTCGTCCGGTTCATTGAAAAAAAATAAAAAATAATGAAAAAATAATATATATTTTTTTTAAAAAAAACCGAACCTCGGGTTTGGGTTCCAGTGCGGAACCGAAACTGTCGGTTCAAAATGTATAAACTATAAAGTATTGCACATGAACCGAACTGGTCAAAACTACGGGCCGGTTCAAGACCCATGGTCAACAGGCTGGTTTGTGTCTGTTCGGCTCGAACCGACAAGTTGGGTCGGCCTATGACCATGTCTACTCGGTTCCAATAGTAGCTACAATAATATTCAGCCCCGGGTCAAAAAAATTTCTGGCTACGCCCCTGGTGACGGTTGCAGAGTACATCCATCGGAGCCTTGGTGGGAAGTCGGTGCTGGAGGTGGTGCCGACCCAAGGTCACTATCCGCACCTCAGCTCGCCGGAGGTCATCAATCCGGTGCTGCTCCGTCACATAAGGGAGGATATCGTGGGTGATGATAAGTCAGAAAAAATTGAGATGGAAGTTTGAGTTTTATTTTGTGATTTGTTGTTTTATGTTGTACCTGTCATGCACCTCTTTCCTTTTATTTTATTTCATATTTCATGTTTTCCAATGACAAAGTAGGAGAAAAGAACACGATAGTAAAATCAGTCATCTTATCTGATGTCGAGAGAGAAACCCTAACAATGTATATAAATACCAAAGATTTGGGTTTACAAGTGAAACTTACCATCTAAGTAACTAAGGCTAAAAGAGTAAATACATAAGATACAATATATAATAACACCCCCACCTCAAGTTGGAGCATGCGGATTCCAAACGCCCAACTTGCCAAGGAAAAAATCAAATTCATGTTTTCCAAGGGCCTTGGTAAAGATATCCGCTAGCTGAGCGCTAGTAGAAACATGACAGGTAGAGAATAGACCCATGGTGAAGTGCATCTCGAACAAAGTGACAATGAACCTTAATATGTTTGCTCCGCTCATGAAAGATAGGATTCGCGGAAATATGCAGGACAGACTGACTATTATTCGCTAATTATTTTCGGTATCCGCAAGTGTACGGAGTAGCTATAGGTAGTGGCGAGCAAGGTCGTATTCCACAAAGATTGTAGTTAAATTAATTAAGTACTAAAATAATGACGATTAAATATTATTTAGACTAACGAGTCGGGATGATGATTATACTTAGAAATTAAACTAAGAACTAATTTATCTAAAAAATAAAAATAAAATAAGATATTGTACCCAAAAAAAATAATAATAAAATAAGATACAAACGATAGATTCTAGGCTAAGCGTTCTTCGGAATTAATTCATGAAACGTTTATATTCAAACAAACCTTATTTAATTTTAACAATCGTAGAGATAATCGCTAAATTGATTTCAAACTTTTCTCTCGAACAAGTTAAATCGTAGATATTAATTGTTATCTATCTCCTCTCGGTCTCAAGATGAACAACTAACTCTCATAAGTTCCTAGGATTTTCGTTCCCTCACAAGATCCTATCAACCTCTGGTCTGTTTATTTTCTTACGTTATAAATCTCCCAATTCTAGCAATCAATTATCTCCTCTCGGTCTCAAATCGATCACATATGCATTCATAGTGGTCATCTACTCACACAAAAATAATAAGCACAAGAAATTCATAAACGAATGATAAACCAGAATGAAAAAAATAAAAACTAAATAATAAATCAATCTGAGTACTAACAAATCTTAGAATCTAAGATAAATCTAGCCTAGAAACATGCTTTCAAAATAAGAAAAATAGATATAAAACATTGAGTTCGAAAGAGGAAAACAAAAAGAAAGAAAAAGTTTATTCGGCTCCGTCGATTCTTTCTTCTCGAGTTTCTTCCTCGTCTTGTTCGTGTTTTTAGCCTCTAAAAGTCTCCAAAAATATGAAAATATTGTCGCAGACTCATAAAAAACGTGTCCAAGTGTCTCTTAAATAGTTGGGGACGAGTCCTAGTCGAAATAAGTCGAAAAATCCCTAAAAATAGGAAAAACGCGTAAATTCCGTACAAGTCGCTCCCAGGGTCACAGGACTCGTGTCATTGGTCACACGAGTCGTGTGATAATGCCAAGAGCTCAATTAGCGACTCGTCGAAGCGACACGTTGTACCTGGGAGTTCAAAACAGCACCAGATCGTCATTCTCAGCTCGGTTCGTGGCTCCTGATCGAATTTCCGGCATCCCACGTGTTCAGAAGACATCCAGGTGACGGACATGGAGTCTCCGGTCGGATTCCGGCAGCATGGCAACTGCACAATTTCTTCTCCGGCGAGTACGTGGAGGCATGCGGTTGATATGGGCGTTTTCTCCGGCATTAAAGGAAGCTTTCGGTGGTCGTTCATGGCGTTAAGGTGGTCCGGCAGCAAGGCGTGTTGCAGCAACTCATCAATGTCGATTTCCGACCAGCCCTGCGGCTTGCACTTCCTCCGGCGCACGGCTCCTCTCCGGCGATGGAATGGTGGCGACGGCCATCAAGGTGGTCTATGGTGGCTGGGTAGCAACGTGGTGGCGTTGTCGAGGTGGAGTGAGGATGAAGCTGTGTGAGAATGGCAGACGGGCTGTTCTTGTCACGTTGGAGAAGAAGACACATGCACTTGTGAATTGACTTCTTTGCCCTCTTTTAAATAACTCCTTGGGCCAGCACATCTTGATATTTCTTCTTCATTTTTCATTGTTTCTTGGGCCGGCCCAAATCAAACAATATGAAATCTGCCTTCTATTCATGCGGGCCTCGTGTTAGCCTTGTTCCAACACATGTTCACACACCGTCTTCGACCGTTTTTTGCCGATTTTCGTGTTAAAACTCAAATAAAACACTTTCTTCATAGCTTAATAAAATTAATTATATACATAATTAATTAAATAATAATTAATTAAATAATAGCTAATTATATATCAAACTACGACGAAACGGACACGAAATCACTATAAAATGCACGTAAATATGACGCATGTCAACTATCATAGAAAAGCTGCATAGGCTGAGAATGAGACACACTAAGGCTAGACAATAAACCTCGCAACCACTTCAGCTCATAAAGAGTGGTTACCATAGCACGGTATTCAACTTCAGCATAGGAGCTTGCAACTGTATGTTGTTTCTTAGTACACAAAGAGACATGAGATTGATCCAATTGAATAAAATCACCCTGTAAGATAACGACGAGTGAGAGGATAACCAATCCGAGTCACACCAACCACAGAACTGAAGATCACAATCAGAGCGTAGAACGATACCCTGACCAGGAGAACCCTTTAAATAGCGAACCACACGAAGGGCAGCATCCTAATGAGTCTGGCGTGGCTGATGCATAAACTAAGCTACCATATGAACAGAGTATGACAACTCCATCCTAGTAACTGCCAAAAAAATCCAACGACCTACTAAATAGCGATACCTCTCAGGATCCTCCAACAACTCATCATCAGCAAAAGGCAACTGATGATTCTGCTCCAAAGAAATAGCTGCAGTCTTACCTCCTAACAAGTCAACTTCTGAAACAATATCAAGGGCATATTTCCATTGACAAAGAAAAATACCAGAAGAATTCCAGATAACCTCAATGCCCAAAAAATACTTCAGAAAGCCCAAATCCTTCATGTGAAAACATCGACTCAAATAACTCTTAAAAGCGGCAATAGACGTGGAATCACTCCTAGAGATAATCAAATCATCCACATACACCAAAGCATTCAAATAAACAGAACCACAATGAAGAGTAAATAGTGAATAGTCATGATAGGATTGAGAAAAACTATATTGTGTCAGGGCAGTAGCAAGCTTGGCGAACCAACACCGAGAAACTTGCTTCAACCCATATAGAGAACGACTCAGACGACACACCTGATCAGTCGCACCAGTCTAGAAGTCAGGGGGAAGCTTCATATACACTTCCTCTTCTAAGTCACCGTGAAGAAAAGCATTGTGGACATCCATCTGATGCACCTCCCAAAGCTTGGCAACTGTGATGGCCAAAAACAACCGAACTATAACCATCTTAGCCAAAGGAGCAAAATTCTCATGATAATCAAGACCAGACACCTGATTGTTACCCATAATTACAAGACGCACTTTAAAGCGCTCAATTGAACCATCGGACTTGTGCTTGATTTTATACACACACTTACAACCTATCGCATGTTTCCCAGGTGGAAGAGAAACAACTGCCCATGTGTCATTATTCTCCAATGCCCGAATCTCTTCCTGCATGGCCACTCTCCACCGAGGATCAGCAGCAGCCTCAACAAATGTGCGAGGTTCCACCGTGGAAGCAATAACTGCTTAAAATGACTTGTGGCTCGAAGAGAAAGAGTCATATTAGATATAATGTGCAATAGGATAAGGCGTACCTAAAGAAGGCGATGATGCATAGGAGGCAGTGGAGGGTTTCGAAGGACATTTCAATGACAAAGTCTTTAAGTCGAGTTGAGGGTTGTTTGGCTCGATGACCACGGCCTAACGCCTCCACGGGAGAAGAACCCCCCTCCCCCCCTCGTTGGAACTACTAAAAACCATAAGATCAGAGGCCCCTACCTCAAGAATCGAAACAACCAGCAGTAAAGAGGGCGCTGGATTCAAACTGAAGTATCATCATCCTCGACTGGAAAAGAAATAACGGGAATCGAGGGTGTAGGAGAAACAACGGAAAAATCACCTAATGGGAACTCATTCTCAACGAAGTTTACATCACGAGAAACGAGAAAAATCTCACGTTCCGGGTATAGCCATGCCAACCCTTCTTCCCAAAGGGATACCCCACAAAAATACACTTACGACTAGCAAACTTATCCCCCTACGTTCCTGGTTATGTACATAGCAAAGACAACATAAGGCACGCACAAGCGAATAATCAAGAAGTTTGCCATACAAAACCTCATAAGGAGTTTTACCCTCATAAGGAATCGTGTTAAGATATGGAATCGTGTTCGTGTCAGAGATGGAATCGTCTCCCGGCGACTTTGAATCGGCGATAGAATTTTCAGAGAGAGAGGGAGAGAGAGAGAGAGAGAGAGAGAGAGAGAGAGAGAGAGAGAGAGAGAGAGAGAGAGAGAGAGAGAGAGAGAGAGAGAGAGAGAGAGAGAGAGAGAGAGAGAGAGAGAGAGAGAGAGAGAGAGAGAGAGAGAGAGAGAGAGAGAGAGAGAGAGAGAGAGAGAGAGAGAGAGAGAGAGAGAGAGAGAGAGAGAGAGAGAGAGAGAGAGAGAGAGAGAGAGAGAGAGAGAGAGAGAGAGAGAGAGAGAGAGAGAGAGAGAGAGAGAGAGAGAGAGAGAGAGAGAGAGAGAGAGAGAGAGAGAGAGAGAGAGAGAGAGAGAGAGAGAGAGAGAGAGAGAGAGAGAGTTGAACGAGCTTGTCCAATTCTTTATGATTTTCAAGTAAAATAAATGAATAATAATGATATTAGTATATATAGGGAGTTGAGAGGAAAGAGAGTAATCTATATATATAAAGAGAATAATAATTTTCTAAAAATAGTAGCAAAAAAATCTGGGAACATTTAATGGATACCTTAT